TGCTGCTTCAAGTGTGGAGGCGCGGTGGCCTCATGGTTGGTGCGCTCGACTCCGGATCGAGTGGTCCGGGTTCGAGCCCCGGCCGGGACATTGTGTTGTGTTCTTAGGCAAGACACTTTACTCTCACAGTGCCTCTCTTCACCCAGGTGTTTAAATGGGTACCGGCAATTTAATGCTGGGGGTAACCCTGCGATGGACTAGCATCCCATCCGGGGGGAGTAGAAATACTCCTACTTGCTTCATGCTGCAGAAACCGGAGTTAAGCACCGCCCTAATGGGCCACTAGGCTTGTAAACAGACTTCACCTACTAATAATAACCATCCTAAAATAGGCACTAACAATGAAAGACAGGTTGTGTGGACAAAATAATATTAGAAATCATTGAATTATATACCTTGGCTGCAAAGTACAAATGATTTGTTTTGTTCTTTCATCATAAACATTTAGTTTTGTATCTGATCCTGCAGTGACAAATCTCCCTCCTGAAGGACTATAACTGCATGCTAAAATCTGCCTAGAAACTTCTGTTAATGTTACCAAACAGGTACTGGTTGATGTATGCCATATTTTGACTTTACCATCAGCATCTGCAGTTATAAACGTGAAAATAGAGGAAAATAGCTCACTTAACAGTAATGGATGAACACTAAGTCAGTCAGGTATGCAATGAACATACAAATACCTTATTAACCAAGCGCGAGGGCCGTACTGGGAGAATATTGGCCCGAGGTCTTGACAGTACAGACCGAGCGCAACTTGGTCCGTACAAAAAAGACAGAGGACCAATATTCTTCCAGTACGGTCCCAATTATTATACGACTGAAGTTCAAAGGGACACAAGTGCGGTATCATTCGGGACCATTTGGGACAGTGCCCCATCCAATACTGAGAGAAAATTGACCAGCAATAGAGCATTTTGATTGGTTGATTTTAGTTATTGGCCCTCTGACTGCCCGAGTCGTGTAATAAATACATATACCTAACATACATACTTTATTTAAGGTATCAAAGAATAAACAAGAAAAATAATACCCTAAAAAGGAAGTTTAAAAGGTTAAGTTAACCCTATGTAAATAAACTTTCAAAGAAATAAAAATAAAAATTGTATGCTTACAATAAAATCTAAGATGGATAAAAACTGAAGAAATACACATGTATAATTTAAGAGCTGTTATGAAACGTCTTAAGTTACCTATCTCAACGACATTGGGGCGCAGGTCATTCCATTCACGAATGATTTTAACAAAAAAAGAGTATTTATAACAATTACATTTTGCCAATTTAACCTGCAGTTTGTAATTGTGGTTAGACCTAGTACGTTTTGAAGCAAACTAAAAAAAAATCACAAAAATGAAGGCTATTCAGCCCGAATACAAGTTTATAGCATTCTACCGAGGAAAAATATAGCCTTCTATCAGTCAACTTCGACCAATGTAACATTTCTCAACAATCTTCATAACATGACATCTCACCCCTTCGCTGACCTAAAGCCAATGGAGAGGCTCTTCTCTGAACTTTCTCCAAGAGAAGAAAATTTTTAACAAGGTAAGGGCACCATAGTGGGGAAGCGTACTCCAGCATTGGTCTCACAAGAGTCTTTTACAATGTGGAAAAGATTTCCTTGTTTACAGAACCGATTGTTCGCTTGATTAGACCAAGAACTTTATTGGCCTTATTGACAACCTCAACAACGTGTGGAGTCTACGAGAGGTCATGTGAGATTGTAATGCCAAGGTCTTTTACGGAACTCACTTAGCTAAGACATTCTCCATGCGGGACGAGAGAGTAATGTGGGACAGATTTATCATGATTATGTGTTACTCGCATAACCTCTCATTTGTTCACATTGAAGTTTAACTGCCAGACCTCAGACCACTTCTTCAGGTGAAATAAGTCGGACTGAAGAATATTTGTGTCTCTAGCTATGTCGGAGATCTCTCAGTAAACCTTGGTGTCCTCTGGATACAGTTTAACCGTAGATGAAACTCCTGACGAGATGTCATTTACATATAAAATGAATAAGGCAGGACCAAGGATTGTTCCCTGGGGTACTCCTGATAAAACTGGAGACCAGGACGAGCAAGTGCCGCGCAGGACGACGCATTGCATCAGGCCAGTTAAAAAATTTCGAAACCACTGAAGGGCACTGCCGTCAATACCATGACGCTCAAGCTTGAAAAGGAGATGCCCATGCGGTATGCTGTCAAACGCATTTGAAAAATCCAAAAAGGCAATATCACGGGGCTTCTTGTTATTGCGTGATTTTGCCCAGTCGTCATAACAAGAGAGCAGCTCTGAAAGCACTGATCGGCCCTCCATGCAAGCAAACTGGTTCGGGTTGATGACATTTATGTTTTGCCAAAAATCCATCAAGTGAGACTTGACGATTTTTTCCGCGGTCTTGCACACTATTGATGTTAATGAGATCTGACCATAATTATTCCTGTCAGTCTTACTGCCTTTTTTGAACAAAGGTGTGATGTTAGGAAGTTTCCAAAGATGTGGCAGTTTACCTGTTGAAAATGATCTGTTAAAGAAAAGGCACAGAGGTGATGATAAAACACTCGCACATTCTTTCAGAATGCGTGGTGGTAGGCTGTCAGCTCCAGGTGATTTGTAGATATTCAGATTTTTTAACAGTTTTTCTACTTCCACTGTGTTACAAAGAATGTTTGAAAGTTTACTATTGGGGACATATTCAAATTCGGGGAAGTTATCGCAGTCTTCTGATGTAAACACAGAGGAGAAAAAGTCATTCATACTTTCAGCAACGCCAAGATCATTTGAGAGTGTGACGCCGTCGATATTAAGTGAGACGAGATTGTTAGACCCTTTACACATAGATCAGGGTTCCCACTCATTATAACCCAAAAAATTCCCTGACTTTTCCCTGACTTTTCACTGACCTCAAAGCATTTTTCACTGACCTTGAATTAATTAATTATCAAACAGGCCAAATCCACTTTTACATTTCTCCATCGCTTTTAAGCTTTCTATACGATTTGCTACACTCAATCATAGCAATTCATGTGACATGCACAAAGCCTTTGTTTTACTGCTCTCTTTTTTGTTTTTATAATTTCTGAAGTTGTTCTAATCTCCCCAGTAGGGATAAATCAGGCCTTGTCTCCCAAAACACCCCCAGTGTGGAACTCCTTAAGACTCAAAAGAGTTTCACAATAAAAAATTACTGATTGCAAATATCAATGTCTTACAATCTTCTAATCAGAGCACATTAGTGGTGTCCATGTACAACTTATCTTCATTTAAGATACTGCTTTTAAATAATAAATAAATCTGCTTAAGAATACGGGTAAAATTTAATATTAAAGACCGACAGACTAAACAAATACGATGTAATTATCACTATAGTTATCATCAAGTATGATAGCACCATATTATTTGAAGGATTAACACTACCCTAAAACCCTGATTGTTTTAACTTTCACTAATTTTCTGAGACGTCAAGTTAAACGTATGAATATCATGTCGTTAAAACGAGAACAGCTGCCAAATGCGACAGCAGTTCCCACTTTCTAATCATTAAGTTTTCTTCCAGCCAACTTACAAGTTGCAAGTAATAGATTTCTGTGAGTATCTCCCTCCAATGTTGGCCTCCAGCGAAGACACGTCACTGGTAAATGATTATCAAAAGTATCTTGGTCCGAGAGATTATAGACACAATGTCCTGAATCAGGAGCATACACCTAGGAGGTGAAAAAATTGTATAAAAAATAACTCACAGAAAATTTTCGGTTTTAAGTACCATAATTTGCAAAGGTGCAAGTGAAGTGACCTTCACATGAGCGGATATTAACTTCGCGAGAAGCGAAAATTTGTGACAAATTCAAAAATGAAAAACGAAATACTATTCTTACCTTGGTAACGCCATTAGCTAAACCAACCGCCAGTAAACCGCCTTCGGGATTGAATCGACAGCACATCACCTCAGAATTTGCCTCCCTGATTAAAAAATAAAAGGCAAATTTAAATATTTTTCCAGAATACGAGACTATGGGGCGATAAAAAAGAAGTTCTTCGATCTTTATCAACAGTTTTACAAATAGGAACGTTAAGCAACAGGAATATTTCTCACAGAATGTTCATAATTTTAAGATTTCCCTCTGCAGTTGGAGCCATGGTGGGAACAGGGCCGATGACCGTATCTCGAGGCGTTGAAAGTGTAGACGGAGGTGCTTGAACCAAATGCATGTCGCTCAAAATGATCTATTAAGTAATATGTTAGTCCAGGTGTCTTAGTTGTCTAAAATCCCATTGGAACAGGAAACGAAATAATTGAACAAACGCTGTCGCGGGACGAAATTTCAAAAGTAAAATAGGCATTACTTAGTACTCTCTGCGCAAGCGTCTGAGCGTCTGTGTTGCCGTGGTAACAAGGAATCTATTTCGATTTCAAGATCTTCCTCTCCCCCTCAAATCTAGCTTTTGAAATTTTGAAAGAGTTCCATTTCCAGTTGGCATTCATGTGATAAATCAGCGGTTTATATATATATAAAAAAGAAGTTTTAAAACGTTAACACAAATTTTTTATAACACACGATCTGTAATCTACAATTCACGAAGGATATGATGATGATGAAACTTTATTAAAGTGACTAAATAAACCTCCTAGCTTAGGTTAAAAACCTGTGCTAATTAGGGGACACAACATAAATAAATATAAGTCAAGGTAAAAAAAATATTTGAATACAAGCGTAGGTATAAATGATATTAACAATATTTGCAGTATGACAAATGTGTTTATGAATTACAAAGATGACAGCACTTGCATCCATTATCTGTTAGTGTAACTAAATCTAATTTACGTATTTTGTTTTTGAAACATTTTAAGGTGGTAACTTCTCTCAAGTCTGGGGCCGGGATAATTTTCCCCAGAGACTGGGCCCTAAATGGTAGAGGGAGTGGCTGCCATATGTTACCGTATTGTACCTTGCAGCGGAGAAATCAAACTGCCTTAGGTTATAGTTAGATCTATGCTTAATAAAAATGTCACTTATAAGGCTCTGTATTATTCTTATGATCACTTCCCTTTGGCATGGCAGTTAATTCCTTGTCAGTTTTCTATAGCCTCCCCGCTCCTTTACACTCTGTTGGCGACAACTGATACCCCAAAATCCTCGCCCCTCCCCCCGCTAGGTGATAAATAATGGGTTCTTGCAAGGCAAATTTGTCTACGGACTATTGCAGTGCAGACGGAAAAAGAGAACCATTTTTATAAAGTGAAAAAAGTACAATTTTAATGTTCTGTCATATTGTTCAGTCTTTCAACACAGTAGATTATAATTTGGCTAAAGCTAAACTGTTTGTTTGCTGACAGAGAGAATTTTCCGTTTGTCTAGATAACCTTTTGAAGCAGAAAATCTTATTGTATTCTCGACGAAATGTTCGATTTAGGGCGCCATATATAATAGGATTCAGGGAGGAACTTATAAGTCCGATATCGGTATACATGACATAGACCTCACGAGAAAGGGACCAGCCATCGGAAGCCATGTCCACAAAATCGATAATAAGGACCGGTGTCCAACAAATTAAATACCCAAGAACAGTTGCGAATAAAGTTTTTGTCATTTTGATGTCTTCTGAGGAGGCTCTTCGCTCATTTTCATGTCTGCTGGAAAATTCCTTTCGCAAATTTTTAACGCGGTTCCTATTCAAACGAAGATGTTTAAAGACGTTATAATAACAAAAAGAAAGAGTACCGAGGGAGATGCATATACAAATGTAAATAACACATGATTCAAAAGACATTTTTACTTCGTGGAAGCAGAAAAACTTTCCCGGATGGAAAATGTACTTCCTGCCACAAACAAGGTAAGGGACTGGGTACATCATGGCTAGGATCCAGACTGACGCGGACATAAGCCGTGCGCGAGACATGGTGAAGAATATTCGGTGATTAAGTGGATGAACGACGCGGAAATATCGATCGACAGACATAAGAGCCATAGTCTGTAAAGAGGCTGCTACCGTTGTTATGACAACGAATCCTTGAAATTGACATGCTTCGAAAGTCGAAAACCAATGCCCTTTGATAAGTGATGCCAAAGACGGTGGAGCCCCAAATGTTGCCATGCCAATGTCCGAAAGGGCCAGAGATGCCACAAACAGCCCTGAAACGTTCCTGAGTCTCGGGGTTTTGTACACAATGTAGAGAACAAGTAGATTTCCTATAAATGCCACCACAGCAATGGAACCATAAATCAAAGATTCCAGAATAACCTGAAATGTACTCCGGTAACGAAACGAATTTGCCAGAAGAAGGGCTTGTCTTTCTATGGAAGATTTCTCAGAGACATTCATTCCTCCTAATTTTTCTTTTGTTTTTACCTGCAATACGAACGATAAATAATTTAGCATAACTGTTGACAGATAGATACGGGTGACTCTCTAAATTGTTTTTTTTCATATTCCGATCTTGGAATCTTCTTCGACCTTTATGGCTCGTAGGCGAAACAGTGATTTAGTTCGGGAATTTGTGTAAGATATCGATTTATTAGATCTACGAAAGTCCTTACCACTTCATCTGTTAAATGGTTATCACACCACAATTTCTTGAATTGAATTTGTGATTCCACCCTTACCAAATTCTTTAAACTGACATCGAAAGGCACAGCGTGTTTTCTCTTATGGTTTTGGAATGCCGGTCGTTTCGCCGAAGTGTCATTTCGCCAACGTATAAGGGCGATTCGCCAACGTCTATTGTCAGTTCACCAACGCCTACATATCAGTTAGCCAACGTCCAAATATAACCTTTTAGTTGAGAATAATCATCAAATAGATTGGCTCTCAAAGTTTTTTAACACGATCGGCCATCGATTGATCAACGGACTTTGTTTAGGACTTTATTTAGACATGACTTTGCCGCTGTATGTGGGGAAGAAGAGAGATAGGAAGGGAGAGTACAAAACTCTGTTTTATTTCTTGTCTCTTTTTCCACTACATTTTCGCGTCGCGCTCGAACAAAATGTTTAAAGCCGAAAGCCGTGCCAGACTTTCTTTTCTACTTTGATCCTAAGTGGGTATAAAAATGTCAGTCGAAACACTTTATTCGCCTGCATGTACGTAACCATTTCATTCTCTACTGAATTACAACAACAAAAAAATAGAATAAAAAATAAAAGTAATCAAGGGAATTGGTCAAATACATCGAAAGTTTTACAGCAGAGCTGACACAATTCGGTAAAGCCATATTTCAACGAGACGTCTCAGGGCCGTAGCTAGCATGAGGCAAGATGAGGCAATTGCCTCGTTTTAATTTTGGCCTTTTTTAATTTTTTTCTTAAAGATTGACTTTTCTGAAGAAAAATGCCACGGAAAATCCTTAAAAGAGCATTTCTAAACCTCTAGATTTCAAAGTTTTCTGGGGGCATGCCCCCAGACTCCTCTAGCGGCTTGCGCCTTTGGCGCTCGAAACTTGCCTCGTCTTGTCCTGAAATCTGGCTACAGCCCTGCGTCTGCTATGTCTAATAACAAGAATGGTATAAAATGAATAGCTTATTAACGATTCAGCGGATACCAAGTTTTTTAATGGTTTAGTGTGTCCTCTCGCTCCTTATATTAAAGCCTGTTCAAACAATAGATTAGCAATAAACCGATAGGATTTCCGATGGAATAAATTAAACAATCTGCTAGTTGAGCTTTATGTTTCTTTCTTATTAGTTTACCCGAAAAAAAAAACTACCACATTTAAGATAACCACCTGCATAAACTATAGTAAGTAACCTAACAAAGCTTGCAATGATTCCTTGTGGATACAGATAGATTCGTTCTCAACCCTTCTTTAGAATTTAAATGCGGGGAAATTGTTTCTGTCGTTTAATTTATTTCGCAATGTGTAAATAATACCATGGACTGTCAAATGTCGTAATGTTGCATTTGTTCTTTCAAAATGGCTTTCAGAAAAAATAGAAGCATAAAGAAAAGGAGAGATTTAGCGTACGTCTTACAACAACTCTTAGGAAAAGCACAGTTATCTTATTTTTGAAAAGACTGTCTCATTTTACAACCTTAGAACTTATTGTTTTCGTTTTTCTAATTTGTTTAGCTTATCAAGTTTTTAATAATCCTTCCTAACACATTAAAGCAGTTAAGTTTAACATTCAAAACACGACCGAAATATATATCTTTACCGAGTTTTGATCCTCAATAGAAAATTATTTTCCCTTTTAATGCAAGGCCAGTGTGTTGAAATCTTCCTCAAGGGAGGGCAACGTGCGAGGCGGATTCTAAATCTCATTTCTGCTTTCATAATCTAACCACAATCCGTTTGCCCACAACTTAAGTATTTTTACTAAAAAATTAGTGTCTTAAGCATTTTCGATGAAGTTCGCGTAACACAAAATTTAAACTTAGATTTGAAGTCGAGAACGTTGTTCTAATCGAACTATGAGTTTTTTGCCGCCATTACTTTGCGATAATAGCAGCAACTCATGGAAAGAAATGTTTGCTGAACAATTCTTAATCTAAAGTACCAAACTGCTCCACAAGAATATATCGTCCACAGCTGATTTTTTGTCTTATTTTGTTCTATGACCGTTGCGATTCAGGAGAATCCGTTAAGAACACATTTACGACTTACCTTTTGAAGATCTGGTCTTTAAAAAATCCTTCTTTTGCAAAGGAGGGGTTTTCAGGTTCAAGATAATACAAGCGGTGTATATTATCCTTGGGTTTCACCCACGTGACCAATACCTTAGCAACGGTTAATATCCGCCATCTTGGTGTCCCTCGAGCGTAAACAAACCGTATCTAACGAAGAGTTCATGTGAGAAAGAAGGGATGGTTTTATGCATTATTGTTGGCTGTTCGAGCAAAAGTGGAAAGCATAAAGACTAAGGATTTTTTCGTATAATAATTTAATAATTTTATTATCTCTATAGCGCAAAATTCATTATATATATGATCTAATGCGCTATACCTAAGATCATCACAAATCAAGGGGAAGAACAGGAGGAACTAGAAGTTGTTGTATGGTTCGAGGCTTGCGGCTGTTGTAGATCCTCGATTTTTTGGTCGAGCTTTTCTTTGAGCTTCTTAGCCGATGAGAAATCGATGTCTTTAGCCCTCGCATACGGCACTTCATTGACCTATGTCGGCAAAATCCATGAGCATTTTACCTGAGTGCAAGTAAGCTTGGGGTGTCACGAAAACTCACACCCCGAAAACTCAGACCTCAGACCTCAGACCCCGAAAACTCAGACTCCTCGAAAATTCAAGAGATAAACTCGACTCATGATCACTCCTGGTAATCCCGCGTGTATTTTGACCTTTTGGGTCTTGATCCAACTGAAGCAGCAAAAGCAAGGCCGCAAGTTGCACGTTTCGCAAAATCGTCCGATGGTTGAGTATTAAAACATTTTAGAGTGACACAAGACTTCATTTAGCTTAGATTTACCTCCATTTTTCCCGTTAATTTTGAACTTTTCATTCACAGTTAACGGGATCAAATGCGCTCGCTCCAACATCAAAGTATTAAAATGTGGCGTGATTTTGACGAGCCGAAAGGGACGTTTGTTTACCTTTTTGTACTTCGTTGCACAGATCCTTGTTGTCGCTCTGTTAAAATTCTTAAATATTTCGCGATAATAATGGATACAAACAGAGACTCGGCCCACCAGTCCCAAAACGAAGACAATTTTGCGACCCTTGGGCTAGAGTTCTTAAATGAGGCAGAAAGAGAAAAACAACGCGAAAGAAGACTCGGCATCAGCGCCGTCACGATTCGCTTCACTGAAGAATCACTCTTGATATTGTTGTCCGTCTTTCGCGTCGGATTTGTTGCATTATTCCACCGGTTATATTATAAAAAAATTGGTTCATGCTTTATGCTATGCACTATCGAATTATGGAGCACTTCG